AGTAACTCTCTCAGATCTTTCACTTTTAAATGAGTCTTCCTCTCAAGTTTTAACGAGTAACTCTCTCAGTCGAATAGGTAGTTTAATGAGTAACTCTCTCATGTGGGTGGACCATAAATATGGTTGTGAGGGGAAAAGGATTCGAACCTTCGATCTTTGCTGACGTGAGACAGCAGAAAATTTTCCAGGCGCTCCACCACTGCGCCATCCCCCCTTTTTTTTGGTTTGTTTGGCTGATTTTCTGGCGTTCGGGCTTTCGGGGGGGGGTTCAAAGGTGCTAAGTAAGTACAAGTACTGTGTGCTAAGTAGGGTGGGTAGGTCCGCAGGTAGGAGGTAAGATTGCTGGCTGGCTGGCTGGCGTGATGCTTGTGCTTATGCATGCGACTATGACTACATGTGAGCGCTGGGTGTACAGTGCAAAGTGCAAAGTGCGAATGTACCGTCGGAGCTGGAGCATGGGAGGGCGGAAGAAGCGGAGGGGAGAGGCGGCCGAATCATTGAATCGGAGTGAGCGAGACACCCCAGCACCCCTCCCCCCCCCCACTTTCCAAACCCCGAACTCCGAGAGAGAGGTTTTTTTAGATTGGGTCATTTGCATCTACGTCTGCGCTGACGAGTATGTATGTACATGATACACAGGATACCAAAAAGCACAAATACTCGGCACTTGGTATACTTATCATCTGATTTTTTTCCCCCATCATCGTCATCATGGGGAGATTTTTTTTCTCTCTCTCTCTGTCCTACCATCGCGATTGCAAAAATGGCGGGTAGAAAGTGGGTGACGGAAGTTGATTGTGGGCTACTAGTTTTTTTGGGGTGGTGCGTGGTGGTGCGTGGGGGGGTACGTACATGCACACGTTTGTTAAGGTAGGGAGGGAGGGTACTTACGCGCAGTAGGGCGAAAGAGGGTCACGTGTTGGTATCACGTACATACATACATACATACATACATGTTCGTACATGCGCATGTACACCTAGACTATCCAAGGTTCCCACATGGCTTGATGCAGCGCTTTGCCTAGACGGGGCGACGGTGCATGACGGATATGTGCATCGGATACATGATTCTCTTTCGGATGGGTTTGCGCGTGGGTCCAGATGGGTTGTTGAGAGAGCGGGAGCGCTTGGGATGCAAGTCACTTAGTGTACAGTAGGTAAGTAGGGGTTCGGGGCTGTTCCGGGCCACACACTGCATGGCTGGCTAACATACACCTACATGCACGGCGATAACTACTGTACTTGCTGCCGTTGGTGCCGCGACCGCCCATTAGGCCCCGCCCCGCTTGGTGCTTGGTGCTTGGTGCTGCCGCATGTCTGTCTCTTTGTCCTGACAGCGCCATATGCCCGCATGCAAAGTGTGCATGACCACTTGTACGTGTGGCGGGTGTCCGGCTTGGCGCCGCCGCGGGTGAGACTGCAATGTCGCTGGTGTTGGATATCCAGTGTTTCACGCCCGTGTCTCAACCCTCCAGCGATGCCATATCACAATGCAAAGGGAAAAAGGGAGCGAGCGTCTTCGATACACGTGCCAAGAAGGTCTAAAGATTTGGCAATAGGATTGGCAATATGGAAATGGGGGGGGGACTGGACGGTTACAGCGTGAAGGGGGGGGGGCTGGGTTGGTTGGTGGCCTTGTCACAGATTGTTCTTGACGGGATCTTCCCAACACCGAGCAAGTAACCCTCTTTTTTTTTCCTCTCTGTGTCCTTTACTTTCCACATCTTGCTCTGCTGTCATCTCGGATCCACGGCCGCAGTCGCCAGTGCGTCGGCGCTAGCTGGGTTTCCTTTCGTTGCGTGGGTGTCTCTCCCTCTCATTCCCATCCGCACGTCCCCGGCGAGCGCAAGCAACCTTTTTTTCGTGACTTAGTTAGTTGGTTTAAACTCTCGGGAATTTTCTTTGGAGGGGGGGCCGGTCCCCACCCACCCACACATCGTCAATGTCAATGCGAACAGGCAAATCCTCGTATGTTGTGTACACATCGTGCCGAATCGCCTAAACAGGTAACCCTGGAACACCATGACTCGCGCGCCTTTTTTTTTCTCTGCCCAAACCCACCGTCGGGGAATCTCTCCCAGACAACGGGTGTACTACATGGAAAGACGGGTGGGGGGGGGAGGGGATTACACCCCCTTCCCCTTGCAATCCAACCACACGCAATCTTTTTTAATTTGTAAAAAAAATCTTAAGATGCTGGAACCCTGGTACAGGGTAAGACGGGGAAGAGCAGGCGGCGAGGGATGAGAGAATGAGAGAGAGAGAGAGAGAGACCCTAAGCCCATGTCGTGATCCCGCAACCCTGGCCCCCGTGGTCCTCTTCATTTCTGAACCGTCTTGCTTCCCGGCTCCCCGCTTCACAGATAGATGGATTTTCTTTCCGACCGCGGCACCGCAATGAGGTCTGTGTCTGTTGCCAATTTTTTTTCTGTCTCTCTCTCTGACTTTGACTTTCGCCTTGTTGTCAACGTAGGGGCGTTTTGCGCAATGCCCTGATTCATTGTTGACCTTGTGCCCAGCCGGATGTTCCGAAGGGCTGGCGCTGAGGCTGAGACGCGACGGCTCCATGGCGTGATGTGATATCGACTTGTTTCAACCATGTCCTTGATTGATGGCTGTGACTGCGCTGCGGCGAGGCTAATCGGCAACACTTTGCACAAAGGCTTACAGCTTGTGGGCCTTATGTTCTGGACGTGACACTTGCAAAGGAGCGTACCCCGTTATTCGTATACGTATTCGTATCTCCGCGGCTGACCCGGAAGGTTAGCCGTTGCTCCCGCACTTGACAATTACATCTTAGTGATGCCAAGTACGTGTATACAGAGCCTGGAGTTAGCCAAAGTGCGTCTTGAGAAGAGAAATCGTGGCGATGAACATGGGGAATGCGAGGTGCTATGAATATGGTGCGGTGGGATGTCTTACTCTCAAGCAGCATTACAAGAGGGCAAAGTGATGAATAAGCTGTGCCACTGACGGGGAATTTTCCCAGACGAAAGATAAAATATACTTGTTGCAAGAAAAGATTGACTATGGCGTACAACAAGGAGAAAAAAAAGGTACATTGCCGAAAGTGGCGTGCATTGCAACGACAAGACAAGCCGAGAGATTGACGGCTGTCACACACTTGACAGGTAAAGTACTGGAATTATGAAGAAAGAGAAGCAAAACTGGAATTGTGACAAAAAGCATGGATGTAGTGAGTATTGCAGTGAATGTATTTGGCCAAAAAAAAGCCATGTTGAGGTGTGGATGACGGCGCAAAAAGGGCCTTGTCCATCGCTCCATGTACCCGTCTAGTGGAGGGCAGCTCAAAAAATATATACAATTGATGTTTATTTTCTCCTCAAGCAGTGGTGCGGTTGTACGCGTTGGTGTGGTAGAACCAGTCGAGCTTCTCCATAATGGCCGGCCGGGTGTAGGCTTCATGAGTGATATCCTTTGGACGGAACCGCGGCTCCATTGGATCGATAAAGAGCGTCGTGTTGTCATAGCCCCATTTCTCGAGCTGCGTCACGTTGAACGCCACCATCATGCTGTGTGTTTGTTAGTTGACTATGCGTGTTGGATGAAAGAGGCAAAACTTACTCGTGGTCCTCGTGGATGAGGTTGTGGCAGTGGAACATGTAGACTCCCTTCCATGGCGCATATCGGGCAACAACCCTCACAACTTCGCGGGGTGCGACCCAAACCACGTCCTTCATACCAGCAGCTTCATATGGCATCACTGCGTTCCTTCCGCCAGTGCGAGAGATGACCTGGAAGTCAACGAGATGGATATGGACCGGGTGCGAAGCGTTGCCACCTCCGTGTCTCAACTCCCAGATCTCGTCCTGACCGAGGACAGGTCGCGTCAGGATGCGGTTTTCAATGTCTGCCCAGCCAACACCGTTGATGACCCACTCACCGTCAACACGGGTAAAGGTAAAGTTCTTGGTGATGTTGGTCTGCGGTGGAGGAGGGATGTAGTGCATATCGGTGGGAAGAGGCTCGTCTTCTATAGGCTCTTCTGGATCACTGACGACGAATCGCATAATGCGGTCAGTCGCGGCGTAGTCGAGGGTTCCAGCCATGCCGCGCTCGTTGAACATGGTGACGTTCTTGCCCCTGTGGTTAGTAAAGTCCACGATAATTTCGTATCGTTCACCCTCGGCGATGGCAAAGTTGGTCGTTGGGACTGGATGCGCAAAGAGACCTGACAGAAAGTTAGCGAGGCCTCAGCAGAAGACCCGATAGACGTACCACTGTCCGAACCAATCATGTTGAAGCTCATCAGGTCACTGCTTCCATCCTCCTTGAAGTAGATGTTGAATGCTATTGTCAATTAGTATACTGGTTGCGAGGGCAGTGTAGACTGAACATACCGCGACTGACAGCACCATCGAGAACGCGGAAACGATACTTGGCCGGCTTTACCTCCATGTACGGCCAGGGTTGTCCATTGCTATCGGAATTGATTAGTCGTAGTCGAATCACTCTCCAAAGTCTACTTACACTTCGATCACATCACCCCAAAGTCCAGTGTTGTTGTGGGTATCGAACAAGAGAGATCCGTTGTTAGCATATCGCTTCGCAGAGATGACGAGTGGAACATCGCGGTCACCGTCGGGCAAACCGAGCGCTTGCTCTTCGTCGTCAGACAAGAGGTAGAAGCCGTGAAGACCCATGTATACGTTCTCGCCTGTTTCGCGCTCAGTGTGGTCGTGGTACCAGATGGTTCGCGCGTTCTGTGCGTTCGGGTAGTAGTAATCTTTGTACTGGCCAGGCACAGCATAGTCGGCTGCCCAGCCGTCGAAAGGAGCGCGGTTGTATTGGCCGTGAACGTGGACTGACGAGTTGGTTGGGCTGACGTTGGTAAACCGTACCACTGCCTCTCGGCCTTTGCGCATCTTCAGCGTTGGTCCAGGCACGTGTCCATCATACGCAAAAAGCTCGGCAGGTGCACGATCAGGGTAGATTTGCTTCTTTATCGACGTGACGTTGATTTCATAGTAATCGATCATGGCACCCGTGGCATTGTTGGTGTAAGTGCTAAACTGCCTTAGTATAGGGTCATATTCAGATTTTTGGGTGTCTTACAACTTGGATTCTTTGACGGGGGGAATCTGCAGTGGGTATTGGAAGATCCATGTATACTCTGGGCTATCCCATCTGTCTGTGTTGTTGTTTGGGGGAAGCATCGCGTCCGTAGGTACAGGGTCGCCATTGTAATCTGTCTCAATAGGGGTGGCCGCGGGATAGGTCTTAGTAGTGCTTGCGATGGGGTAGACCTGGGTATTGCTTCCTGCAGGATAGACCCGTGTATGGCTTGCTACGGGATAGCCTTGTGTGTAGCTTGCGATGGGATAGCCTGTCTCAGCATGGCTTGCGACGGGGTAGGCTGTCTCAGTATGGTTTGCCACGGGAAGCGTGGTGTCGGTATGGTTTTTCACCGGATATGCTGGCTCAGTGTGGTTTACCACGGGATAGTATGGCGCGGTGAAGTTCACCGGGGTAGTGCCGTGATATGGCGACCTTTTTGTTATGCTAACGAATGGCGCGGCGTGGGAGCCTGAAATTACGCTGAGCAAAGCAAATGAACGAGTGACGGAGGAAGAAAACATAGTGAAACAGAAAGGAACTCTCTCAAGTTGCCGACCACAAACCCAGTGGCATTGCGAATGCTTTAAACAAGTCGGCGACGGCAATCATATGCAGCCACACCATCATTTTGACTTGGGATAACAGAACCGGGCGTTTCACAACACACGGCCAGCTGATGGGCCTCCAAGCCCGGCAGATCGAAGATAGAAGCAAGGGTGGCCGTGGCTTGCTCCCAGGCGTGCAGATCGCCATGTGGTGCATTCTTCAACCGATCGCGATCCACATTACCAGGAAAGGAGGGACGAAAGGAGTTTTTTTCCGTGGCCATTTTAGGTTTCCGGGTCTTTCGTCGAGAATTGATGAAGCTAAGGAAAAAAGAAAGCGATACTTAAGATTGCAATTGACATTGGCGCTGTGACTGAGCCGAGCCCAGGCTGTTGAACATGCTGTTGAGTGGGCAGTATGGCCTGAAGCGGGCCCCACGCGACATGGCAATTGCATACTTTGCGATGTCGTTGGCAAGCAAATGTCGTGAAGTGAAAGCTGCGAGGGCCTGTAGTCCCTTCCCCCTCAATATGCAGCCTAAACCCAATCCGTGCCGGCTAGTACCTTCTTGGACCTTGTCGTGTTTCTTTTTTCGGGCCTCTTCTCGTTGTGTGCACACCCACCCACCATGAATGCAGTATGCAAGACACTAACGCCACCTCTGCACATGCAATCCTGCCCTTGCCGAAGGCCACAAAGCTTATCATCAGGTTCCTGGTCCACATCGTGCCCGACCTCGAGAAACAGCCCAATGGCATCGCGGAATTAGGCGAAGGGTAAGCGATATCGTGTTCTGTTCCTGGAAGAAGAAATCACCAAGGCATTTATTCCAAAGCACAGTCCGAACGCGAGCCATGTGATAAAAATAAAACCCTTCCCGGACTTCCGCATCTTTCAACACGTCTTAATCGCCGCACACACACAATCGCCCTCGCTGCTAGGCCAGGTGCTACAGCTCCGGATAATGAATTTCGCGCACTCGCACAACATGGGCCATGCATAGGGTCGTGCTAAGAGCATCTTTGTCCAGCACAGCGGGCTCTGTCCTGGCGATCCTCCATGGGAAATCGATATCGCATCATCAGCGTCCATGGGCGTGTCCGTCAGACAGTGTAAAATCGTCGGTGTTTTATTATCGCAAGACGTGGAAAAGCTTCATGCTCGGCGCTCAGATAGCAAAAAGGAGCCCGTGAGAGGGGGACACATCATCCAAAACTTTGGGATTGACCGGTTGGCCCAAGACACGACAGGAAGACTTTGCCGATCACCTGCCATGTAGCTGTCATACAAAATCCCTCGTGGTAATCCTTTTTATGCACAAGTTGGCAACCTAACAATCGGTGAACCAGATTTTAATGTCACAAAAGGACCAAGGGTAACGCACGGGTGTGACTAGACACGATCTTGATGGCCGCGGCCATTACTACTTACTTTGGTCGTCATCGAAAACCCAGCATCCTCCGAGACTGTCCATTTTTTTGTTTCCAACACTACAGGCCTTTTTCACGCTACTTAGCAGATTTATAGTATAAGTATGTTGACTTATTCTTTTACTGAAATGTGCATCGCCGAGACGGCAGTACATGTATGATAGTCCCGAGGCCCGAAAGACGCGTCCGCAGAGGTATTAACATAGTCCACCTGACCCTAGGGCTTTCTGACAGCTGCGTACCGTCCCGCTACCTAGTAGCCGCAGCGGCCCTAGCGCCGGTAGCCACTAGCGAGCTTAGCGTTTCACCATGTCTTCTACTACACATACCGTAATGGGCATAGTCTTCATTGCCATTATACCCTCAATTCTTCCATGCCGGTCCCCACTCCGCCATGTCCGGCAATGGAGAGACCCACAAACAAATCTCCACAACAGCCGACATCGCTCTTACAAGCGCTGTCTTGGTATTGCCACTAAGCAGCCACTTTAGATACCAAGAAACCCCGTTTAGTTGCCTTACAGGAAGGCTGACAGACTATCATGACCAAGACCTTGGCGACATCTCGTGTATCGCAAAACTGACCTCCAACTACATGCAGCTGTGTATCGATGTCTCAGGCCATGAGAAAGCCAGAGGGGACTGTGTCAATGGCTGAAAGACCATATGGTCATGATTGTACATTGTGGTTTTTGTAAACTAGCGGCATACCATAGTTTCAAAACCCGAAATCGAAGAGGCTGATTATGTGCGGTGAAGCCGGCGGGTTGCTTTTGGGGAGTTGTCCGGGTAATGCAAGATATGGAGAAGTGTAAAGTGAAATGTAGGCTTAGTGAAGGACGTGACATTTAACGAAAAACACTTTATATTTGTGAAGTCATGACTCTGAAAGGTTTGAACAACGATGTGTCTTTGGCGTTGTTATTTCCTCTAGGCTAACTCCTGATCTAAACAGTTTCTAGGCATTGTATTATCTCTTAGTAGGGCGGGTATCGGTGTTTAGAGGTGTTAAATTCTCCGAGAACTAGTGCTGCACTTGGTCGCCAAATTCGCGCATAATATTTATTTCTTCAGATCAAACGAGAGAAGATATTAAAGTGCAGCAGTTCGAACAATGGTGATTAGTAAACCTCTTTCTCACACCGACTTTTGTGGAGATATTCTCAAATGCAAACAATAGTTCGCCTGATTCAGACGTGACCTACGTATGGCAAGCTATCGAGTCATGCATTGGCGAGGGACAGCATGAATCACTCATCGGCCATGTGCAATGCGTCAATAGGTCTCGGGCATTCCGTTGTTGAGAGCCTGAATGGATGAGTGGAAGAGTCTTTGATACATCGATATTCATATATCCCCAAAACCACTGGAATCACGCGTAGCCAATGAACTCAATTCCGTCCGGTCATGATGGTTCATCTGCTATTTCCCATGTAGAACGAATAGGGTCTGAGAGGGTTTACATCATGGGTGTTCCAATGGGAGAGGAATCCGAGTCAGTACATTCATCACTGCGTCATGGGCCGGAGCCAAGCCATGGTCTCTACTGCTTGCTTGCTTCTGTGCGGCCGAACCTCATGATCCCAACAAATCTACGAGGAGCCCAACATTAAGCAATTCGACGGCAAATTCTATATAGGGAATTCGAGGTCAGGGCTGCGGACCAGGGAGGCAGCGCAAGTCGGAGAAAGGCAGCTGAAGTGGAGTCGCGCTAAAGATGCTGGGCTGGGCAAAAGTTAGCGGCGCGTCGCCTCTTGTGACGTTTCTACTGTTTTGCGCCTCACTCTCAACAACGCCCGAATTTCGCATTTTCCTTCTCCAACAACCTCGGAATGGGCAAGGGAACCGATAAGCTTTACATTACCCACTCGGAGTGGTCGTCGTCCGACTCGTTTGGCACCGCGCGCGGCGCAAACAACGCCAGCCGGGCCTCTGCTTCGGGCCTCGCTTCAACATTCAAGCGCCTTCCGTTCAACTACTGCGCCGTTTCGCTCCAGCCCTTTACCGATCCCGTGTGCACTGCTTCGGGTACCGTATTCGACCTCACGCACATCCTTACCTGGCTGTCGCGACATCCCGACACAAACCCCGTCGATGGAACGCCGTTGAAGCGCGCGGACCTCGTTACGCTCAACTTCACCAAGAACGAGGACGGCGAATACGTGGACCCAGTCACATACAAGGTCTTCACCGACAACACGCATATTGTGGCGTTGAGGAAGAGCGGCAATGTGTTTGCGTGGGACACGGTCGAGCGACTGAACATCAAGGCCAAGAACTGGCGCGACCTGGTCAGCGACGAAGAGTTCACGCGCAAGGACATCATCACGCTGCAAGACCCACAGAGCATCGAGTCGAGGGACTTTAGTTCGTACAAGCACGTCAAGGATGGCGACACGGTGGTGGCAGAGAATGAGAGCAGCGTGAACAAGGACGCCTTGGGCAATGCAGCAAAGATTCTCAAGGCCAGGGAAGCTGTCGCGAAGGCACGTGAAAACAGGAAGATCAAGGAGCAAGGAGGCACAGCGTCCAAGGCTGTTGCAAACCTGGCACGGAATGCGTCTGCGGCTGCATCCACCACCCAACCCAAGAAGCCAGCATACAATGCTGCAGTATACACCTCTGGTAAGGCTGCAGCATCCTTCACGTCGACGGGCGTCACGCCGCACACATCGGGCGAACGCGCCCTTCTCTCCGACGAAGACTACATGCTCAAGCCGAAGCGCGTAAAACAGAAGGGTTATGCAAGAATATCCACGTCCCTCGGCGACCTGAACATTGAGCTGCTACCCGAATTCGCCCCGCGCGCCGTGTGGAACTTTGTCAAACTGGCGCAAAAGGGATACTACAACCACACCATCTTCCACCGAAACATCAAGGGCTTCATGATCCAAGGCGGCGACCCTACCGGCACAGGCAGAGGGGGGCAGAGCATCTGGGGCAAGCCGTTTGAAGACGAGTTCGAGGGCCCAGAAAGGCACAGTACACGAGGCATCCTCAGCATGGCCAACAAGGGCAAGAACACAAACACGAGCCAGTTCTTCATCACGTACCGCGCAGCCCCGCATCTCGACCGCAAACACACCATTTTCGCGCGCGTAGTAGGCGGGCTAGACACGACGCTGCGGTCCATGGAGACGGCCGAGGTAGGTGACAAAGACAAGCCCGTCGACGACATTGAAATCCAGGATGTAGTCGTCTTTGTCGATCCCTTTGAAGAGTGGCAGAAGGAGCGCAAAGACAAGGAAACAAAGGACCAGGAGGCCGAGGAAATCAAGAGACAGGGCGGCACAGCTGACGACAAGACGACTTGGACCGGCAAACGCATACGTGCAGACGGCACCGTCGATAACGCAAGCGGAGACGGCCTCGGTGTCGGCAAGTACCTCCAAGCTGCTAAGCAGGACATGGCGAATCAAGACCAAGACGAGATTGTAGGATACATTGACGAGCAAGAAGAAGACGTAGTAGCGCCCGTCAAGAAGAAAGCAAAGACTGGAGGTGGCGGCGGCTTTGGCAACTTCGACGCCTGGTGAACCACCACCACCACCCCCAAACAAAAAAACATGGGCTTTTGAATTCTCTCGCGATATTTCTCACATGTGCTACTCGCGGAGATTTGTAGAACGAAGAAAAACTAAAAAAAAAATGATACCCCCCATTTTTTTCTTTCGCATAACCTCCCGGCTACATACACGCACATAAACATAAACATAAACAAATTACCTACCATGGGCTTACAATCTCAAAAGGCCAAGAACTGTTTCCTTTGTCAAACAGGTTAAGCAAACCACGTAAGCCAGTCGTAATCCGGAAACACGCGGGTTAGGATGATAATACATACATAGATACGCATAGGCTTGCATGGATGCATTTATGCGCAGGGTTGGGTGTTACACTCGAGCTGCACTGTGCTGACTGGTTATGACGTTATCATTGCAGGTCGAAGTGCGCAGCGCAGTGCAGTGCAGTGGGGACAAGAAAACCTCCAAGTCGGGGGGGGGGGGACATCATGGGTCGGTGTTTAATGTGCAAAGTGAGAAACAAAAACCCGGATTGTGCTTCTTGGGTGCCATGCGTATGTGCGAAGATGCAGAGAGAAAAGAGGCGTGGTTTGCAGGGGTGGAGCTATCGAGTCCGAGGATTGTCGGGGTTGCGACGTGGAGATAAGATGGAGGGATTTCTTACGCCCCGTTTCCCTGCTCCGATGGTGGGTTTGTCATTCTTATACCTGCATGCAGCGGACGTTGCGAAGCTATCAGGTACGTTGGTCTGCGGGGTTAGGAGGAGAGGAGCAGCCACCTGGATGCCTGGAGATTATGGATTGGTGGATGAGTAAAGTGTGACGGCTGGGCAAACTGCGTGAATCAGCTTGTTGACATCACACACACATAGCTTGATGTCAGATAGGCCTGTCTTTTGCGCCTCTATTTAATACGTGTTTGTCGTCTCTGGTTACAGCTTTTGTCTGCACAATATTAGACTTGCTGTCTTGTTCAGTCCATCAGCACAATGTCATCCCCGGGTATCCCTTCCTCATGCCGTGCAGTCGTCGTCGAGAAAGCCGGCGCGCCATGGACGATCAAACAAGTCCCTGTTTCTGCGCCTCAGGCCGGTGAAGTCCTGGTTAAGGTGCGGGCTTGTGGCGTCTGTCACTCTGATAGCTTCTTCCAGCAGGGCAAGTTTGGCGAACATGGATTCCCCCGCATCCCGGGACATGAAGTCATTGGAACTGTAATCGCGGTTGGCGAAGGTGAGAAGAAATGGAAGGTTGGCGACTGTGTTGGTGGAGGGTGGCACGGTGGACACGATGGCCTCTGCAAGGCGTGCAATCGCGGCTTGTTCCAAATGTGCGACAATCAGCTGGTCAATGGAGTGAGCAAGGACGGTGGATGTGAGTTGGTTTCTGCAAAATACTCTTTAGAGGGAATCGAGGTTGACAGAGATGCACAGATGCGGAATACTGTACCCTTCGCAGCGAGGCCGTCGTCCGTATCCCTACCGACGCCAACCCCGCCGAGTACGCCCCCCTTTTGTGTGCCGGCGTGACTGTGTTCAATGGCATTCGCAAGATGAACATCCAGCAGGGTGATACAGTGGCCATCCAGGGTCTGGGAGGTCTCGGTCACCTCGCTCTGCAGTATGCCCGCAAAATGGGATACCGCACCGTGGCTCTGTCGTCATCTGCCGACAAGAAAGACTTTGCGTTTGAGCTGGGAGCGACAGACTACATTGACACGTCGAAAGAGTCTGCGGCAGAAGGACTGCAGAAGATGGGCGGTGCATCGCTTATTGTTGTCACGGCGCCGAATGCTCAAATCATGGGACCCTTGGTCAATGGGCTCGGGCCGCTGGGTAAGCTGCTTGTTCTTGCGCCTGTGGGAGATGTGCCGATTAACACGGCGAATCTGGTTCACGGCGGCCGATCGGTTCACGGATGGCCATCCGGACATGCATTGGACAGCGAGGAGGCGATTGACTTTGCCGAAAAGCAGGGGGTCAAGTGCATGGTTGAGAAGTTTCCGTTTGATCAGGTCGAGGATGCTGTCAAGCACATGGAAAGCGGAAAGGTGCGGTTCAGGAGCGTGATGATCATGGAGTAGGCGGCCGCTGGGATGAAGCTGGGTGTGCATGGGAGAGGAGCGTCGTTGGAAGCGGGCGCGAGCCAAGCGTCGCGAACTATAGCTCGAGTGCTAAGGAAACACGGAAACATTTGGGCGTGATGCGATAGGCCGGTGTCATTTTCTCGCAGTGCGTGTGGTAGACGGTGCTCTGGGATGATCGAGGTCGGTGGCGCGTAGCGGGGGTGAGACAGGTCAGGGTGTCGGAGGTTATTTTTGCCGCTCACGTGCACCTGCTGTATGCATGCACACATGCACATCTCATCTCGCCCCTCGCCGCCTCACATCCACAACCGCCATAACCGTTACACCACCGCCACTGACTGCTGTCTGCACGGCGCCGGCCACGCGCCAACAACTACCGGCAGTGCATAAGCTCGACACAAGCTTCCCGATAACAGCTTCCGTTGTGTGTCCGGGTACCTGCACCTGAAGCGCTCTCGCAACTTTGTAACGCCCACGGCGGCCTCTGCAGCCAACCAGCGCCCGCATCGCGCTGTCCCCAGACGAGGAGCGCCAACCCCGGCCAAGCCCCGTCGTTTCAGAAGACTGGGTTTTGGCGACTTGCGACACTCATCAGCTTGCAGGGACTGCTGCTCTCCGGGGTGCTGCACCAATTGCTATGCGCGACACTCACATAAGGCTGGTCCGCCGTTGGGGTCCCTTGCAGATCGGCCTTAAGATGTTGGCTGGTCCCGCTGCAGGTCCCAGCTGCTACCTGAGTAGTAGAGTCGCGGAGCGACTGGACAACCCCCACTATCACCACGGCTCTTCTCGGTCGTTCCGCTCGTCTTTTCCTTTCTTTTTCTCTCCCTCCTCCTCCTGCCCTGGCTGCGGCCTCTCCTCGCCTTTTCTCCCCTCGTCTCCTCTCCATCTCTCGCCGAACGCTGCGCGTCGCTCCCCGTCCCTCCATTCATTCAGAAAGAAATAAAAAACCAGTTACTCCTATCAGGCCTGGGGCCACAGAATCAGACTCGTTCATTCGCTGTTTGTCTATGCATCTTGGATGCTCCTTTTCCAGATCTCGCCACCATCGTTTTCCAGTACAAGGGGGCAGGCTCTTGACAGTTTGACACTGGACACACGGTTTGTTTGGAATTCTCACCACAATTGAGTTTCTGAGGCATCGAAATCTGCGTGATAAGTTTCACGACAAGAATACTGAACATCGGTTCCCCACAGCAACGTGGAGCAGCGTTGAAGCAAAACCTCTCTGCGTAGTTGGTTCGTAGCAAATTTCGAAACTTCGCAGGCCAGGAGAAGACTGATCGTCTCAATAACGTCATATCCCGGATCCAAACAGTAGTCGTCTCACATATCTCACGGAAGCCCGCCTTCCGCCGGGACAGTCACGCCTGGCCACCGAAGCCTGAACGTGGGCATCCGAACACCACCGCCGGTATACGTCTGCTTCCTCAAATCTGACGTACGGCCCTGCCATCGCTACCCTTCGTATCCTTAGTCTAAGCCTCAAAATGCTACCTGTGTCCTTACGCGCAACTGCACTGGTGCTCCTCTCGGCATCCACGACAACCGCCCTCTCCGTGTCCCTAGCATCCTTCGTCCCGCGCCTCGACAACCTTCCCCAGCCCTGCAGCGATGTCTACACCACAGCCATCACCGGGTGCACACCGGATGATTTCAAACAAGGCGCAACATGCTCGGCGGCATGTGTGCGGGGTCTCGCCCAAATCGGAGACAATGTGAAGCGGAGCTGCGCAGACGTTGACGTGGGCGAACTGAGCATCATTGGAGTCTTCCAGAATGACCTGGGCATTCCGAGTCTGTGCCCAGGTGTGGTGGTGACAACCATCGGCTCGGGGAGTGTAATGACAAGCACAACAATGTCCACTGTGGCTAGAAGCACGACACGGGCGGACACTACGAGCTCGACGAATTCAGCGGCCAAGACAACATCAACCCCATCACCTTCTGCGTCGAGCACGGGCGGTTCAAAGTCAACATCGACAGACTTGGTCATGGACCCAAACGCCACTGCGACCAAGGCGACTATGACGGTAGTCGTTCCACCAGACAATACGGCGCCGCCAAAAGACACGGCGTCGCCAACAGATCTTGCGCCAACAAAACAATCAACACGGCCGCAAGAGACGGTGGCACCGGGCGCGCAGCTGTCCAACGCCTTCTCGGGAGGCGGCTCGCCGTTTGACATTGTCGCGACTGGCTCATCGAACCATCTCGACATGTTTGACGGTGCAGCTGTGGCTCTTCTCGCAGTCACGTTGCTCTTTGTGGTATGCGCATAGGCGCACGGGGGGTTCTTTCTTTTATCTGGTAGCAATGCATATATGGCTCACGACCTGGCGTTCGGGACATTGACATGATTGATTTGTATTACTATATACCCAAATTGGCGGGATGGACGGACAAGGACGACGACTTGGTTACCGTCAGCTTGGTGCATGCGTAGCTGTAGGTGTAGATAGCATGGACCGAGGCAGGCCCAGGCCGCAGCAGCGACTTGAACAATACGATGAATGAAACGAGATATCAGCCCACGGCTTGTCAGATGTCATGCCGGCGCCCTCGCACGCTTAACTTAACATCCTTCACTTATATCAACATGTCTACCTGTCACGTCTTGGCTCATGCGCTGCGGTCCTACTGACGGCAATGGAGCCTTCCGGCCACCAACCACAGGCGCGGCCCCTGTCACTACTCCAAGTACGTAAGCGAAGGTGGGGCAATGGCGGGAGATGCACCCCAGACGTAATGGCTCCTTTTCCGCCGCTCGTGCTCGTCGCCGCCCGTCCTTCCGCTAACTCTGGCCCCACCATGCAGGAGAGGAGCACGGCTGCAGAAGATGAGGAAGACTTTACTGCTGTGCTTTATCCACGGCTTCAAGGTACGTCTGGCTTCGCGCGTCCGCCCGGGGGCTGAGCTGCCCGCCTGCCCGCCTGCCCGCCATGTCTCAGCTAGAGCAGTGGGCAGTGCTGCGGCGGCATGGGGCCCTCTGGAGCACCGCCATGGGCCATTGAGCGTATACTGATGTGCCGGGTAGGGCGGGGATGAAACATTCAGGACGTTTCCGAGCCATGTGAAGGCGCTGCTGCAGCACGCACTGCCCAAAGTCACGGTACTAGCCATTACGTACCCACAGTTTGAAACAAGAGGCGACTTGCACGAGTGCGTCGGCAGGTTCAAGGAGTGGCTCCAGAACAAGGTCATCGATCTCGAGGTGGCCAATTCGACGCCCTCGCCCACGGTCGATCCCTCGGTCCGCACCATCCTCGTGGGCCATTCCATGGGCGGCATCGTTGCCGCAGAAACGCTGCTCTCCATTCTGTCGGAACAACCCATCCACTCGCAGTCCAACTCGCAGACGGGCTCCGGCTTGCTGGAAGAGTACTCGACCCTCATGTTCCCATACATACAAGGCATCCTCGCCTTTGACACGCCGTACCTGGGCATTGCCCCCGGTGTCGTAGCGCATGGCGCCGAGAAGCATTGGAATACGGCGAGTTCTGCCTACTCTGCCTACACCAACCTGGCGGGCGCCTTTGGATGGGGCAGTAAGGTGACTGCCTCTGCCGCAGTCGATACGAGCAAAATGCTGCCTGCGCCTGTGACATCTGCAAGCGCAGATGCGGCCTCGGCGCCCCTGTGGCAGCGCTACGGGAAAATGGCCATGTTTGCAGGAGCTGCAGGAGCCATTGCAGCAGGCGGAGCCGCAGCATACATGAAGAAAGACCAGATCAGTCAAGGTGTCTCGTGGGCAACATCGCACTTAGAATTTGTCGGTGTCCTAGCCCGCCCAGAGGAACTGCGGAAACGACTAGAGAAGATTGCAAAGCTCACGACAACGCATGAGGTTGGCTTCTGCAACATGTATACCACGCTGGGCCACGCTATAAACAGCGAAAACAAAGAACACGGCTGGACTGGCAAAGTCGCCGGCAAAGACCGCACCTTTTGCAACCTTCCCAAAGGCCAACTGAAGAATTTCTTCATCCCCGCTGTGAATGACAAGGCGACAGCCGAGACATGGGCTCACACGTCCATGTTCGAGCCTCGCAACAACCCAGGCTACTACACTCTCAGTGAGACAGCAAAAGAGAAGATCATCGAGTGGACCGAGTCGACAGACTGGTACAAAGAGAGCGATGGTCCATTGATTGGAGATGTTGGCGAGGAAGCCGAGATTGTAGAACGCCAGGAGGTAGATGAGCAAATGCAGAAGGAGGCCAATAAGAGAGAGCAGGAAGAACTTGAAAAGGCGAAGCGGAAGGGCGATGTAGATGCTCTGGAGGAGGAAGGCGAGTTTGTGGATTTGAACAGAGGTATCGAGGCAGCCGAGTGGGAGGATGAAGCGAGAAAGAAGAGCGAGTTATAGGTGTAGTGTATACCCTTGTATGGCAGCCATGATGGTGCTTAACGAGTGATTAGCCTAGTCTGTTGAGTCTGTCTACTTACATTTTCTATCCTACGCTTGATATACTCGGACATGCCCGCGAAACCTGTACACAGCACCCATTCTTTCCGACATAAAACCCATCTACTTATATGCTAGAGCGAAGACGAAATACATGTAGAATTTCTCAAAATCAACACGAGTACTCTAGCAATCTCTCGCGTCTGTTTAATTTTTGTTTCCCCACATCCTACTACATACTTACATAGCTATGTAGCTTATCGCATTCAACTCCAGCACGCCATGACTCGCGCCTAATCCCAAATTAGCCTTGGTATACCTACCTACACATTTAACCACGCTGGGGCAAGAAATCCCCTCCCCATCCCCCCATTCAGCCCATGTACGTAGTAATCATACCCACCCGCACCCACTGCCAATTCCCATAACCAACCAACTAACCAACCACGTAAGTACAAGCTTTGGTCACACGACGCGACCCCCAAAACCAGTTTAGTGTCTTGATGTGCCTGCGCTCTTGGCCCAGGATGAGGGGGGCTAATGCACGGGTATTTCGGCTCAATTTGGGGGGAGGGGGGGTAAGTATATATGTCTGGTCATGTGTACATGCACACATGTGTCTAAGTACGTATATAATGTATTCGCTGTCCAATCTTTGAAATTCTTGTTTTTCTAACTGTTTCCTTTTTTTTTGGGGGGGTCTCCCTTGTTTGTTTGTTTTTTGAGCGCGACTGTTGGTAGTGGTGGTGGAAAAGCAAAAAGTAAACAAAAAAAAAGTGGTGAGGGGTTGGGTGACGCATGTCACATGTCAAGCTAGTACTGTAAGTGTGGGTTTCTGGAGATGTGTGGAGACGAGACGGGAGGGGAGCGGGATGGGAATGGGAATGGGAAGGAAGGCAGGGGAAGGAAGGAAGGAAGGAAGGAAGGAAGGGAAGGGACGGGCCGGAGATGGAAGTGTGGAAATTAGTAAGGCCCTTTAATTTTCTTTGTGTCTCTTTGCCTCTTTCTCTCTTCAATGAATTCTACATAACTTTCCGTGTGGGCAGACCGTCAGAAGGGTTATTTTAACACCCTGTGTTATTGACGGGATGAAGGGATGAATGGATTGATCAACGTCAACAGTCGTTCATGTTTCGCAGGCTCTTTTTCTCTCTCTCCGTCTCAGTCATCAATGTCCATCCAATCTGGCTCTTCGTCGTCATCTCCATGCTGCGTAACCTCGGTGGTCCATGTATCGGAAGAAAGAGAAGGAATACAGGGAGCTTGTATCCTCACGATCAAGTCCTTGTCGCTGCGCTCAAAGTCGTCGCGCCATGATTCCAGGCCGTTGATGCCGCCACCGACAAAGTACAAATAGCCAACCTCACGCGCGACTTTGCTCGTCTGGCGCTCCAGTTCTTCGCGCTCTTCGCGCTGCGCCAGCGTCTCGATAAAGTCGGGCGCGACTTGCACTTGCTCTGGCGTCTCCGAGTACGACAGCGAGCTGCGCGGCGGCCTCGGCCGTGTCGTATTTCCGCGTGCGCGCCGCTCTGCCATGCGACCCTGCTCTTTGATACTGCGGTGGTTGCGCCAGCTAAAGAAGCCCGGGATGGGCCAGTCCCAGAAAGAAGCCGCGATTTCAAAGTCTGGGCCCAGGCCGTGCTTGCGGCGCACCGCTGCTTCGGTCTTGTTGCGGGCGTGCCAGGCTTCGCGGAGGGCGTTTCGCTCTCTCGTCTCCTGCCGGACGAGGGTGACGATTCGAAGCAGCTCTGTGCTGCCTTCTCTCGGCTTCGCACGTCTGCACGGGCGGTGGCGGTGGTGCCGGGGCGTGCTGCTGGACTCGAGGGGGCGTGAGGCGCCTGCCTGCTCCCACCAAGCCACGTAGGTTGCAGGCTGCGCCTCGGGCACGCTTGTGGGGTACGATGCTGACATTGAGTCACAGACTGCGCACAGCGAGGGACTCTGGGGTAGGACTGCTGCTGCCGGGGCTGGTCGCGAGTCGGATTGCTGGTGTGCGTCGTCCCACTCTCGCTGTTTTTCCCAGCGCAACTGGTCGTCCCGCCGGACTTTCTCAAGCTGCTGCTTGGCCATGCCGAACCCCTTTCTTGCGCTGTTCCACTGCTGGCTGCGCATGTGCTTTGCGGGCTTCAGGCCTCCGAGTGCTGCCAGGTCCTTCAGTGCTGCCTCAGTCTTTGCCCGGGCGCGAGACAGGATGCATTGGGGACACCAGGGTACATGTTCGGAACTCGAGGGGTGGATGCTATGGCCACATATGCTAGCTATCCGGATTGGGTGACGGGAAAGGGAGTGAGCAAAAGACAGTTTTTTGTCGGGCGTGTCGGGCGACAGGTCGGGAGTGAGCATCATCGGCATGGTGAAGATGAAGGTCTGGTTGGTGAATCTGTTGGTTGAGGGTCGCAAAAGAGCTTAGGTGCATTATTGCTGGTGGGATGGAGTCAAGGTATGGGTCCGCGTGACCAGCGTCACAGGCGAGGAACTCGAAAAATGAGGCAGTGAGAGAGGACAAAAAACCACCCAGGACTTGACAACAGCACGATGCGGATTCCAGCGTGGTTGCGTCGTGCGTGACTTTTTAACCTGTGAGATGGCCCTTCAGCCCTGTTCAGTGAGGCGCGTAAGCGCGTCATCGCGTTGCTCTCTTATTGGCCTGCTACTACAAAAAGTCACACGCGAGACTTGGGCATCGACGCTTGGCTATGCGCTTGTTTAGCTCATACCCACACTGTACACTGCTGTCATGGTCGTGGGGGGGTGCCGGCGGGTCGACGACGCCAGCAGCAGAGCGCCGGTGCCGCGAATGCATGCATATGGGCAGATGCTTTCAGGAAATTGGATGCGCATACCCGTGCTCACGGCAGCCTGGGCCCGAGCGTTTTGGGGTTGCAGGCCTTCAATGCGGCTCCGTCTGGGTCCCTGGGGCAGCCCACGCTAGCCCCAATTGGGCATATAGGCATTGCTACAGCCCGTGACGGCGTCGAAAAGGGGTGCATCTTTAGCTGCTACGCTGTATTGGTTGTACTGGCCGTCCCGGCCGTACCGCTGCTTTGGCCGTTCCAGCCGTTACCATGTTGTTCTGGCGTTTCTGGCCGTTCTGGCGGTTACTACACTGTACTGCTGTTACCACGCTGTACTGGCTGTGTAGGCCTCGTCATGTAATCAGACGGCTTAGCTATTCTAGTAACGTAAGGCAGAGATGCTTCATATCTTAGCGTGTATCCAGCTAATAGTGGCAGAGTCTCTCAAGGCCAATCAGCGTTAGTTTTCTCTTGCAATTCCAGCCCATGCAAACACGTGACTACGACACAGCACGTGACTGGCCCTAATATGCAGCCAAGGCTGCAACAATATCTCCGATCGCAACCTCAGCTTCACCAAGGGGGGCTCACAGTGCCAACCTTCAACACCATACGACACTGATCCGGTTGGCCCGGCATGAAAACCCACCACTGTGACCGCGAGCTCTCCGAGCGCTCCAATAGTCAACAAAAATCTCTGCTCGAGCCGCTTGGTGCTGGAAAAAGGGCTGTTTGCATATTGCTATTTGCAGCGAACAGTCGAAATTGAGAGCTCGGACTGTCAATCTGGTAAACGAAAGTGAAGGGAGAATTGGTAGCGGACGTGACCGCTGCTTTCACTGCAGCAAGACGAGCATGTGCACCACGCCTGATACAGTGACTTGATCTTCTCTCTTGATCGGCAACTAACCTACAGCAACAACACCACCATGGAAGAGAGGCGCCCCGACTTATCGCGAAGGCCAGCCTCATTCAACCCTGAAGCAGCTACCTTCAGTCCGACAGTAGCAAAAGCTGCACCGCCAGTCCGCGCTACTGAACCGACTCCGCCCGCCAGCCCGCTGCACAGGTCAGGTGTGCCGGACAAACTTGAAGGTGAGGATTGTGGAAATCAGCTGGCGAGGCTATCGACTTACCTGGACACACCAGAGTCCCCCTTTCGACCTGCCAGAGAGATGCGTCCTGTCTATCAAGCGTACGAAGGACCGAGAGTCGCTCAGCTCCCGAGCGCTCCGCCGGATCCAGTGTTTATGCCATTGGATGACCTACAGGACCTCTTGCGAGGTGAGACTAAGTACAATACAATTCGCTTGTCGAAGACAAACCTAACAGAGCACTGCATAGCCTTGACCCAAGATCGACAAGACCCAACACACAACGTAGCCGCCTCCATGGATTCCATCAACATAGCAATGCCCTATAACCCGCCAAGTCTCTTCTCCACACAGCGCCTTGAGCCGAGCATCAGAGTCCCAGAAGTCGACGAACTCAGCACAAACTTGGGACTGCCAGGCACGGTGAGGCGCAACAAGACTGACGAGGACGACTTGCTACTCTACGGCCAAAGTCCTCGCAGTTTCAAAGGCTATGCTAAAGATAGTCTCCATGGTAAGCTTATAGGGAGAGCACTAGATAAGCCGTTAACGGCTAACACCCTAGCCCAATATCTCAACGGCCAAACTGACCCGGACTACCCAGCCGCGGCAGCACTTGGAAATCTGCACGACGGCTTTGCCACGCCTCTAGAGCGGGAGCCGGGAGAAGACCCGCCCAGAAGAATCGTGCAGCCGCCTCCAGGCTTTGGCGGAGAGCGCCCCCGCGAAATCCGTGTCGAGGACCGCAGCGCTGCCTCCTTCGCTATCTTGGAGTCGCCGTTTGTACCTACGGGTCCCGCCGCGCTTGGCCGCCTCCGACGCTTCAGCGATCTCCAGTCTGCGAACCCACTCCCGCAGTACCAGGTCCCACAATATGACCGCACACGTCGCCCGTCTATCAAGAGGCATGCGCGCCCGCGAGCGCCCACGCGCACCAGACGCACCGATCAAGGCCCAGAGCCCTCAGCCGCAGATATCTACCCCGACGACGCACTCTGGATGTCTCCTCGGAGGGCTCCGTACACTCCAGAGCCCATGGGCGCGTTTCCCGCATACGCACCTAGTGCCGTGCGCGTCCCGGCTTTCAGCATAGCACAAGACACGACGTCGTGGCCCACGCCCGCAGAAGTGTACGCGCAAAAGACCAAGCAAAGTCCCCCTCAGCCCAGCGCTTTTACCCAAACCACGACTACTACTACTACTTCTACGACTGATGCGCCGTTTGACCTCTTCGCCAACCATTCCTACCCATCTACAGCCGACATTCTGGATGCCGATGCCGACGTCGAGGTCTTGATATGCATGATTCCAGATCTCTTTGATCTCGGTCTGCATGGTGCGCTGCCTGACGAGCGTCCACTGACGCTGGGTCACGCCGACGGAACGAGATATGGAGTGGGGCTTCACGGCATCGGACTGGGAGATGCTTGGAGGGGTCCTGATCTAGGCAGGAGCGATGCGTCCAAGGCTCGGTGGTGAGCTCAGCGCTGCTATTCATGGGGGGTATGGGGGGAGATTTGGATTTGTGTCTGATGCTGGGACAAGGGCTGCTTGGTGGCTCTACAGCGCTTGCTTGCTGGTGCAAGGACCATTGGAGAATCACGGTGTGTAGCCTCACCAACTTGGAAGATGGGAATCGAAAAGTATGGATCAAGGCGGGCTCGTTGCAAGCGACACATGGGGGTCATCGTATGAACGTCGGCCAGGGCAAAGATCTGTAGCATGAAAGCCGAAAAAAAGGCGTGTATAAGTCTAATGAGGTCTGCCACATTAACATACGAGTTTCCCCACCCCCCTTTGCCAACGCCATCCCAACCAAGTTACCAGCTCATCCCCTCATACCCAAAAATAATTTCGTTTTCCACACATACAAAGGCCTGCTTAAGTACCCGCCCACCCATCACCCATTCAAATGGGATCAAAGTCCGTTTCCTGGCTCGCCCTCTCGTTGTCAAACGTTGCTCCATAGCGATAGCGGTACCGGACCTGGAATCACGAAGACGGATTAATATGGGACTTGAGATTCAGAGGCTGAAGGCCGCGCTGCTGTTGCGACTGCGTGGGTGTTGCAGTGCCAGAGCCGCTCATCTGAGGGGTTCCTAGTCCTGACAATGGACTTACTGTACCACTGGGTGGAACAGGAATTTTGATGTCTTCAGGGCTGCCGGGCACCATTGATTCAGGGAGGTTGGGAATCTTGATGCGCTTGGCGACGTTGTTGTAGGATGAGGGTATGATCTGGGAAAGGGAGGCATTGGTTTTAGCATTAGCATGGAGCCGAGAGAGGGCTGGCTTACCTCGATGATTTCATCGCGGGGGAATTGGAGCTTGGGGATGTCGGCCGCATTACAAGCCATGAGGTATCCGTAAAGCACACGAAGCACTGATTCGTGAGCAATGATGAGAAGATCGTTTTCCTCGCGCTCAAGCTCGAGAATGATGGGTTCCATGCGCACTGCAAGGTCGTGGTAGGATTCTGCGCGTGGGTAGCGATGGTGGTATGGGTCTGCCTCGTGCTTCTTGACTTCCTCGGGGAACTCCTCGCGAATCTTGGCTTCGGACATCTTCTCACAGACACCAGGGTTCATCTGGCTCATCTGCGAGCGTTGCCTTACGCGGTAGCCCATGGAAGCTAGAACTTCTGATGTCTGAACAGTCCTTCGACGAGTCGAGGTCCAGATAGTCAGTGGTTTGAGAGAGGCATCCGTCGCCCCCGATTCGATTAGCTTCTGCTTCTCTTCCTCGCGGTACTGTAGTAGCACCTCGCTCATCTTCTTGGCATAGTCGTGGCCTTCTGGTGAGAGGCTTGCATCGGCCTTGTATGAGTCTTCCTCTCTAGTCGTTCCGGCACGAGCAAAATACGTTTGCCGCGACTTGATGTGTAGGTTGAGCAGATAGAAGACGATGCGTTGCGAGAGGTATCCAAACGCGCAGTTATTGACGACAACTCGCTCGCCGGCATTAATCATCTTGATCCAATGCAGGTCAGTCTCCTCCATGGTCTCGAAATGGGGTATCCGTGCATTGATGCGTGCTAGGTAGTCTTGGACAGCGTCCTCGTCCTTCCAGCCCTTGTAGTCTGGGGAAGAAATCTTGACGCGACGCACGTTTTCCTGGATGATACGCTCGTCAGTGCAGTGTGATTCGATAAAGACGGTCTGGATGCCGTTCTTCGCAAACTCCTTGGCCAAGGACCGACGGCCCTGGCTCATGGCGTTGACGGCGTCGTAAATGGCGACCTGGCCCTTGTCGTGCTCGAGAAAGTGGTAGATGTCCTCGCGGCATTTCTTCAGTATCTTGTTTCGAAGCAAGACAGACTGGGGTGTTGCGTTGAGGAAGAAGTAGTCCTCGGGGACGTCCATGCCTGGGCCTAGCGTAGCGCGGCGGTAGTCGCCAAGATGAAACACGTGAGTCTTGACCCCCAGCCAGCGCAGGTAGCGCGCCAGAGCAACGGAGGTGTGCGTCTTTCCGCGAGCTGGCAGTCCGCATGTGGCGATGACTATGCGGCCTGAATGGAAGAGGCGGCCGGATTCTGTACTATAGAGTTGGGCAGGAGCCATTTCTTCCCGGGCAGGCAGGTCGTGGATTGCGTCGACAAAGGTGCTCGACCGCCGCCGGAAGCGGGGCGAGTTTGCGTATATCTCAGCGGTGCTGTCCATGGTGAGTGAGTGAATGGCTCCGGCCAGGGCACAACATGGCGGCGGGAAGTGGGGTCATGGCACTCACAGTAGGGTGTCCATGGTTGCAAAGGCAGCAAGTCTACAGGGGGAACAATGGACGCAAGACGAAGAGGACGAAGGAGATGCGGATGGGCGACAGGAGAGAAAGGAGCGTCTGGGCAAGAAAGCGAGGATGCGGCTGGGATGGGTTCAAGAGGGTCACAGATCCGGTACGCCCACTGGTTTGCCGAGAGACGTCAGCGGGCAAGGTGCGGCAATGCGCGACAGTCAATTGCAGCCCTTTACTAGGGCCGCGTCGCACGACGGTCTGAGAAGGCCTGGGCGGTCCTTTTGAAGGTTTTGGTCTGGTCGTCGAAGGGCCTGCTGGGCAAATGGCCGGCTGTCGTCATGCTGGCCATGGGCCCCGGCAAGACAACGGCATCGGGGCGTCGCGTGGGCTAGCGCCTATTATGTCATCAGTGACTTGGAGAAAATGTTCACGATATCATCACTGCCCAGCGACTGCGACGCATCACCCGCACCCCCTTCCCCTCCCCGTCCACCCCGTGCCCGTCCCCGTCCACCCCCAGGCAGCTTCCAGCCGGACGTCCTCGCACAATTCGCCATGGCTACCCCGCTGCAAATCAACCCGGCGCAGGAACAGGCTGTTGCTGACATTCTCTCCCGGCCTCGCGCCGCCAACACGGGCCCCTTCGCACACGTCCTCAACGCATACGATGCCTTCAGGGACCGGAGAGAGGCATTGGGCCTCAACAACCCCGGCACCGTCGAGAACATTGCCCGCGAGGTCCAGCGCGATGTCTTCCTGAACAACTCGAGCTTCTCGGGCCTGCGCGCCGAGCTCACAAAGGCCTTCAGCGCCGCCCCGCTCTTCCAGGTTGCACACTCGCTGTCAATGGGCTCGCAGGTCATGCCGCCATACTCGTACATGGTTCTCTACGGGTCGCCGCGGGTGCGTCATCCGCCTCCTGTGCCGTCCCTGACCAAGGCTGACCCTTTCTAGGTGTTTATGCAAGGAAACATTGACAACGAGCTCGCCTTCTCTGGCCGCTTCAACTGGCGCTGGACGCCAGCGTTCGTCTCCAAGGCCGCCGTCCAGCTCACCTCGCAAGGCAACATGGTTTCGCTTGAGAACGACTACACGGGCGCCGACTTTTCTGCCTCGCTCAAGGCCGTCAACCCCTCGATACTCGATGGTGGCGTCACTGGCATGCTCATGGCGAGCTACCTCCAGTCGGTTACACCAAAGCTTTCGCTCGGCATTGACGCTTTCTGGACACGCCCCGCCATGGCATACCCACCCGAGCTAAACGTTTCGTACGCTGCGCGCTACCGGGCTGAAGACTGGATGGCCTGCGGCCAGCTTATTCCCGACCGCGGGGTAATGGAGGCCTCATACTGGCGCAAGCTCACAGACAAGGTTGAGACGGGCATCAACTGCAACTTGGCCTTCGCTGGCATCGGTCCTGGAGGCCCCATGGCCGGCCCACAGAAGGAGGGCAATGTCACAATCGGTGCCAAGTACGACTTCCGCCAGTCGTCATTCAGGGCGCAAATCGACAACCAGGGCAAGGTCGCGTGTCTGCTGGAGAAGATGATTGCGCCACCCATTCGCGTAACCTTCTCAGGCGAGATCGACCACAAGCAAGTACGTCATCCCCCAAAAACTCAAAATCCGAAAAAACAATAAAAGCCCAGTAAGCAATGCTGACAGGAGATATAGAATGCCGCCAAGCTTGGTCTGGCCGTTGCGATAGAAGCCGCCGACGAGGCTGTCATGGAGCAACAAGAACAACAGGGCGCCGCAATGTCTGCTGGATCGATCCCCTTCTAAACGCCTCTCTCTCTCTCCACACTCACACACACACACACACACAACCATGTATCGCTATAATACCATGACTCTTCTCTTTGCTGTATCACCACCTTTCTTGGAGCGAAGCGCAGTCTGGGAAAAAAAAATCGCTACCCCTCCCCCTTCCCAAACCATTGGCGGGTTGGTTACGGTAACTGCATGCGCAACACCACCGATAGAGTGACATTTTTTTCTCTTTTGGCTACAACATCTTTATGAATGTAACAGAGAAAGAAAAGAAAAAAGAAACCCCGGCGGCAAATGTTTTGCGCGAGCCGTTTGGTTAGACCGGACCTTGAGAAAGGCGGGGGTTTTTGATTGTTTTGTGCCGCGCCAGATGATGATGATGATGATGAATGTGTATTTGTAAATATAGTGGCCGCACGGGGACAAATTTCCAAAAAAAAATAATTATCAAGATCAAGATGAAAGAATCATGATAAAAAAAATTCCACAATGGAATTTCAAAAATGAGAATCCCACAAATCACGTTTTTGACGATATAGTGTGCTTGATTTTGTGTCTTACTGTCAATGTCAAGGGTGATGTTACAATGGCATTTTCATTATCGTGGAGTCGAGAAGAAGAAGAGAAGAAAAAAAGAATATAATAATACAAGATTGTAAAGAAAGAAAAAAGGGCTTTAGGGCAAGGGAATTTGGCCGGGTTCCGCTATATGCAATAAACAGAACATGGTGATTCCCCCCCACTTCCCCCCGTCTCGCCTCCATGCCCCAAATCGCACTATCGTAACAAACCAGAGAATAAGTCGGCGCGCATGTGTATGTGTGTATTTAGAGAAAGAGAGAGAGAGAGAGAGCCCATGAGTTGAGAAAGCGTCCAAATAGGGGGATGGTAGATCACAATCGCAGCATCGTAGGATTTTTTTTGGTGGTTGTAGTTTCTTGTTGGTTTTTTTTCCTTCTACAAAGCCGGCTTTGCGCCCTGCGGCTGGCCTGGCATAGGCGCACCAGGAACCATGAACTAAGGCCAAATGTTAGCAAATTGAGTGTTTTTTTTGTTGAAAAAGACAGATAGATGCTTTTGTGCATTTGAATGGAGAAAGGGAGTATGGAGTTTCGATAGAGGAGTGAAGGAGGAAGAACATACCTCATTCTGCGCACGCTGCGCCTGCAGCTCAGCCCTCTCCTGCTCGACAATCATCTGCTCCTCGCTGTACGCCAGGGCCCATGGGACACCGAGCAGCAGCGCACTGGTGCTAACGACCCACAGCGTCTTGCCGCCCATGGTCAAGCCGCTCTTGAACCACGCCGAGAGTGTGTTTGCTTTTGACGAGACGGAGCGCCGCGTGCTCGCGGGAATCATATCTTGCAGCGCCGACAGGCGCTCGAAAAACGTTTCGTCGGGCTGCACTGAGTGTACGGATGAGGTATCGGATTCTGAGGCGAAAGAAAGTTGTTAGTTCTTGATGCAATGCAATGCAGCGCGCGGGGTGGAAACGATAAAACCAGTAGTAGTAGTAGTAGTAGTAGTAGTAGTAGTAGTAGTAGTAGTAGTAGTAGTAGTAGTAGTAGTAGTAGTAGTAGTAGTAGTAGTAGTAGAAAGCTGTGGGTATAAAGGCGGGATAGGAAGGAGAGGATTGTGTGGAATTAATTTTTTTTTGCATACCAGAATCAGTGTCCCAGTCCTCCTCGTCAATGGGACCCTCCTGCTCGCGCACAAACTCCTCGTCGGTGACTTCGGTGAGCTGGACCATGATTGCGGGTTGGAGCGGGCGTGGGAAGCCGGTTTTTTTCTATTCAGTGAGAGAGAGAGAGAGAGATCGAGATCGAGATTGAGAAGAAGGGCGGATGGAGAGGTATCTGGAGATGAGATGTGACGATTGGAGATTGAGTCGATGGATAGGGAGGA